TGTTGTCGTTCGCATGGCTCAGAATGTAGGCTCGAATCTGTTAAATGGCTTGCATCGTGTTCAAGGTAGGGACCGTCTGTTGATCACAGTTGCCGCCATGACCACCAGCGCTCGCGAGTGGAGAGCGGCGCGAGAAGAAGATATCAGGAGGGCTTACGCCGACAAAGAATGTTGGAATGACCTGGACCGCATTACCTGTCAGCACCCTTGCAATTTCAATGCCATAGAGCAGTGGCCGTTGGACGCTGCTGTGATCTGCAAACCTACGGATCGAGCGTCGGTGTTGCTTGGAAGCATCAAAGCGGCGTGTAGCTTGGAAGACATTTTCAAGACTCTGTCGGTGAAGGTCACCGTGGTGGTGACCATGTGCGCAAATGAAATGGAGATTCGAGGTGCGCCGAAGGATTGGGCGCGGTATTTCCAGCAAGAAAATGTCTTTCACATCAAGTGTCACTTGGATGACACGACATTGCAGCCGCCGCACCGTTGGGAGCTGTAGCTGTAGCTGTAGCTGCAGCTGTAGCTGTAGCTGTAGGTCAGCGTAGCGTAGTGTAGTGTAGTGTAGTGTATGAAGTGTTGTGTAGTGTAGTGTAGCATGGTGGGGTGTGGAGTAGGGTAGTGTGGTGTAGTGTAGTGTAGCGTAATGTAATGCACTTAGTGTAGTGTAGTGTAGTGTAGTGTAGTTTTATGTAGTGTAGTCGCAGTTGTAGTTGCAGTTGCGGTTGCTGTTGTAGTTAGTGTAGCGTAGTGTAGTGTAGTGCAGCGCAGTGTAGTGCAGTGTGTGTAGCGCAGTGCAGTGCAGTGCCGTGTAGTGCAGTGCAGTGGTGGAGTGTAGTGTAGTGTGGCGTAGCGTGGCGGAGTGTAGTGTAGTGCAGTGCAATGTAATTAGCGTAGTGTAGCGTAGCGTAATGTAGTTGTAGTTGTAGTTAGTGCAGTGTAGCGTAGTGTAGTGTAGTGTAGTGTAATGTAGTGTAGTGTAGCGTAGCGTAGGGTAGGGTAGCGTAGCGTAGTGTAGTGTAATATAGTGTATCCCCCTGCAGATTAAGTCACTACCCCGTACTCCCCGATTCTACAGGTATAAATTGGCGAGTACACCCCCCAACCTCTATAGAATCCACAAACCTAATCAAAATGAGCCTCTATAGAATCTAAGAGTATGGGGTACTGACGTAATGCCCCATTTTTGTGGAGCTCGCCTCTATATAGAATCAGAACCACCATATTTTGACATGTCTCAAGGGGTTACTTGCACATATGCCAAATTTGGTTTATGGATTCTATAGAGGGGGCGGGTGCCGTACTCCAGCTGAATGGAGTTAGAACCCAATGGGGAAAAACAACAAGGAAAGGAAACAGCAAAACACCAAAATAAGCAAAACAAACCATAATCTTCTGAATGAATGAGAAGTGATTATATCTTTGTGATTTTTGTCACACGATTGAATGATGTTTCTAATCACTTAAAATGCATCTAAAACAATGAAACCAATCTCTTCTGACATCTTCTGACTCAATTTTGACTGAACCTGGACAAAACACCCCCCACTAAACTCAATGTGTGTTGGAATTCTTTCGGCATATTTGCAATCGTCTGTATTTGTTTTTTAGATGTTTGATTTTGTGATATGGCACTGAATCATTTTGTGATGGAGAAATATATTTTCAACTACGGCAAATGTGGTCTATAGAATCAGAACCCACCAGTGGAAGCCACATGAACCACTATAAAATCAGAAACCAGAGGTCAAGACCACATTAAACCACTACAGAACCCTAGGAGAAAAACAATGTGCAAAGAAATTGGCAAATAGGAAAATCATGAAAAGATGAACAAATGAAGCAAAAGTCAAAATCACGTTTTTGTTCATCCATCATTAATGGTTCCTATTTTTATTATTCTGTAAACTGCCAGGATGTCCGTGTAATTCAAACATATCAATAAAATACAATAAAATACATTAAGCAAATCTAAACAATATGTAAACGAGGCAAGCAGTTCAATGGGAACTACAACATGTACTACGGGGTTTCATGTTGGGGTCCATGTTAATTTCCATTGTGGGTTCAACGAACACACCCGGGGGAAACAGCAGGGTTGAGGAGGATCTTATGGTTCAAGAATCACCAAAAAGGTAACATTCATATCATCAAGTGTTGTTGGCAATATCCAAAAAAGACAGGGTCTTGAAAGCAGAGATCTTACTACCTCAATCCGGTAACAAAAACAACGCCCTCTACTGATTTTTTTAAGCAAGATGTTACCTCCTATAGAATCAGAACCACCATCTCGATGATATTTGGTCCATGACCCTAAAAGAGGCCCTCTATAGAATCAGAAACAGGAAAACAAAACTCTATAGAATCTGAAAGCCAGTTTCCAAGACAAGAAAAGGGCGTACTAAAAAAAACAGTTTATTTGGAGCACGTGCCCCAAGATTTTGTAGAGGTAATTGGCCGGGGAACTGTAGTGTAATGTAATCAGTGTAGCGCAATGTAGTTCGTGTCGTGTAATGTAATTAGTGTAGTGTTGTGTAATGTAGTGTACGTAGCTGTTGTAGCTGAAACTGCTACAAAACCCTCACGTTTCTCATTTTTGGCAACATGCAGAATCCATTGTGCCTGCCACGCGAAGCGACATCTGAACGTCCAAAAGTGCTCCGAACACGTCAACATTTTACACTTTTGACTTCGAAATGTCCTTCGCACCACAACCGCGTGCTCTTTTTCGACATCTCAACTTCCAAAAGTGCTCCGAAGCTGAAGTGCTTTGTACATTTTGACTTCGAAATGTGCTTCCTGCACAACGGCGTGCATTTTTTCGACACCTCAACATTCAAAAGTGGTCCGAGAATGATGTGCTTTGTACATTTTGACTTGGAAACGTGCTTCGCGCAACACGCGCGCACTTTTCGACATCTCAACTTCCAAAAGTGCTCCGAAGCTGAGGTGCTTTGTACATTTTGACTTCGAAATGTGCTTCTCGCCACAAAGACGTGCAATTGTTCATTTCTCATCTCCCCAGATGGCTCCGCACCCGCCGCTTTAGCGAGCCTGCTTTTCGACTCTTCTGCTCTTCTCCTCATTTCTCCATTTCTCCTCCCTGACTCTTCCCACCTCTGCTTTTCTATCTGTCCATACTGTTGGAAGTTTGACTTCTAAACTTCCTTCGGCCATCAACAAATATATAGATATCTGATATCTGAAGCATTGTATAAATATGATGATATATAATATACATTGTTACATATATGCACACACACATATATATATATATATAGCGACGGACATGCACTTAGAACATACTTTGGAAAAAATCTGAAAATCTTCACAGCGGGGATGTTCTAAGTATGGATTTCAAAAAAAGTAGTTAGAACATACCCAAAACCTATACTTAGAACATTTCCAAGCTATACTTAGAACATCCCAGTGGTGAACCAATGGGAACCATACATATATGTATATATAAATGAGGCATCTCCAAAACACTCAAAATTATATATAATTCATTTTAGCTCATTTTAGTATTGAAACCTATGCTTTTTGACTACCCCCTGTAGGAAACCCACAAATTACTAGAGACCTTCCCATTGCAGCAAAGACTGCTTGGGATATTGTTCCCGAAGAAAAGGTATATAATGCTTCAGCAGTGAGGGGAGAAAGTGTTCTAAGTATGGTGTTCACCAAGGTATTTGTGTGTATATATGCAGATTTACCAAAGTAACAGGACATGTTCTAAGTATATGTGTGTTTTAATGTTCTAAGTATGCAAAAATCAAAGGAGATGTCTAAGCATCTGTTTTTCTGATGTTCTAAGTGAATACTTAGAAATATTTTTGATGTTCCAAGTATGGTAATTATGATGTTCTAAGAAGAGGTTCCGATATGTTGGAAAAGATTTGATGTTCTAAGTATATGTCCGTCGCTCTATCTATATCTATATCTATATCTATATATATCTATATATATATATTGTATATATAATAATACAAATAGACATATATATATGTGTGTGTGTGTATGTGTGTGTATATGTGCGTGCTGCGTACTGAAATTATCTAAACTGTACCTAGCCCACTGCATCGCAGACCAAACGCCCAGCTGAGGAAGGAGCTCCCGCAGCTGTGCACAATCCCCTCACTCGTAAGAGCGAGGCAGTGCTTGTCGCTGCACGCCTCGGTGGGTTGCTTCTCTGGTCACCAACCAGCGGAAAGTAGCTGCAACAAAGCTCATGGCTTATGTTTTCGGGCACAGGGTATCTCAACCCCGACCTCGGACAGCTTTTCCGGATCCAGGCTGCTGAGTCAACGCCACACTTGAGCTCAAATATGAACATACGTCTGGGTTCGATTTCTTTAGGTTGCAGAAGTTCAAGCAGTTCCTTTGCTCAGGTCTTGTGGCTTTGCTGTTCTTTCATGAAAACAGCCGATTATATAGAGGTCAACGTGGTCCCTGGTCACTAGTTTGAAGGTGGTTTGCCGCAGCAAGGCGCATAAATAAAGAGACTCACAATGCCTCAGGGCCATTATCAAGAAGGTGGCCCCTTTTCAGGCATGACCACGCCTACCCTCTTGCCCTGTTCCGGCTCACACTCAAGACCCCTTCAGGGCGACAAGGAGCACATCCCAGGTTGCTCTTGGCTTCTTTTTGGGCGTTTCCAGCCCCGTGTTCCTTTGCTTGTTTTGATTACGGCTTCTAGATGCCTGATTAAAACGGACTCCGTGCGTGGGTACCTGTTCCGAACCCAAAAAACCAAACTCCACAACCGGCTGTTTTATTTGAAAGAAGCCTGCTGAGCTAAATTGAATTTCTTTGTGATACACTGCTGGTGAAACCCCAGGATGCATGCGCACAAGGAAAAAAAAGATGCATCGGCGGGCCAGCACATGCTGCCACCATGGTGGGGCAAACAGATGAAGCACGCCCGGGACGAACAGGAGATTGTTGACTCAAAAGCACCCCAATCAAAACGAAGCAAAAAGTGTATTATAAAAAAAATGCATGAAAATGCCAAGCATGCTCCCACTATATAAGCACTATTGTTTGCTTTCTACAAAAGGCCGAAAATTCACACAGGGCCTTGGCAGCGAGCGAGCCACGAATGACTCTCTAACCGAGCAGGCTAGGACAGGAAGTTTCCCATTCAAATAACAATCTAGAGTGCACCCAGGGTGGATGCGCCCAACCCGCCAATGCAGTCTTCTGTCACTGTCTAAAACAAAACACGGTGTTGAATATGTCCAACGTGCGCAACATGTCGGAGCTGTTATCATCTGCAAATATCGTCAAAGTCATTGAGGCGCAGTAGCCGGCCCCCCAAAAAAAACTGTTTGAATCCTACTAGGCAAACTAGCTTCACCTGACCAACTGGATCTATCTTTGATGCATGTCTTGAAGTCAGAAGTTGTGAACGGCCAGGGATGAAAGCATTGGCAACACACCTCGCTGCAAAACTTGTTCGCCAACAAAGGACGGCGCCTGGCCCAAGGCGGCTAGGAATCAAACTAAACCACTTTGCGATAGTGAACTCGATAACAAACAACATGAACGCCCGCCACAGCGGCAAAGAATCAGCAAGGATGAAAAGGGGATATGCTGTGGTACATGCTGGTACCAGTAGTACCGCAGACCGCGGTGGCGGAAGTTTGAAAGATAGGAAAGCTATAGGAAGTGTTGGGTTGTTAGGTTGCAAGGGCGGAAGAGCAAGCTGGCGGACCGACCGCCGGATGCACGATTGCTGGCTACTGACTCGACGACTCACCGGATGCTCCAGTGCATGCAGCGCTCATCGGATTCAGACCTACTGGCTGCAGACAGCGTGTCATTTTTTTCTGTCCACATGATACAATAGCCATTCTTCATTCTCTGCTAAGATTCTGCTGGCACACTGTTAGGGGTCCCTTGCCGGGATAACGCACCAGTTTTTGCCGTTCGACCTTCATTTCTTGCGGAAGGGTTGCGTCTGAGATTTCAAACTTGCAATTTTACACCAGCTTTTGAAATCTCACCCGCATTTCGTGCGAAAGGGCGCCACGCCACAGAAAAGTCGCGTTTCACCGCACGTTTGACACGCACGATCTCCGCAGAGGGGCTCGCGCCGCCAACAACCGCATGTCACCACACGTTTGATTTCCGCAGAGGGTTGCACAGGAAACGGTGCCAGAAACAGGAAAGTCGCGTTTAAAACTACATTTGTGCGTCCGGCACACAGGATCTCCGCAGATGGCCAGAAACAGAAACGTCGAATTTCACCGCACATTTGTGCGGCCAGCATGCACGATCTCCGCGGAAGGAAACAGTAATTTCACCGCACGTTTGCGCGTCCGGTACACGATCCGCAGATGGCGGGAAAAGTCGCATGTCACCGAGTCACCGCACATTTGTGCGTCCGGCATGCACTATCTCCGCATGCTGCAGAGGGGCCCCGGAATCACGGGCGATCTCCGCAGAGGGGGGTCCCCAAGACATATTCGCACTTCGCTACACGTTCGTTCATCCGACAGAGGTCACACACACACACAATCTCCGCAGGGGGCCACCTTTCGATGGACACGGCCGGGCTGCCCTTGCCGCCAAAGAGAAAAGTTAAAAGAACTTTGAAAAGTAGGAGTTCTGTAGAAGTTCAGATACAAGTAGACCACCAGTTCCTGTGAAGTTAACTCCTGTGGGAGTAGGCATTGTAGGAGTTTGTGGGAGATATGTAAAGTTGAGCACCTCTAGATTGTGTGAATGATGTAGATAGATCAAGTATGCGACGTGGATGAAATTGATGTAGATTATGTACGTGGTGTAGATGATGTAGATGATGGAGGGTATGTGAATGAAGTTGATGTAGGTGATGGAGGTGATGTACAGGACAAAAATTGAATTTGGCAGAAATTCTTTGGAAAAACTTCGCGGGAGCTTTCGGGAACAATTCAAACCCTCTTTCTATCTGTCTGTGCCATTGACAAACAATCAAAAGTGAAGCTGACAGTGCCAACACGAAGCAATTCTGCGATACTTCCGCACAAAATGCAAATTCACAACTCAGAAAAATCAGAAATTTTGCGAGACTTCCTCCCAAATTCAAAGTTGACGAGACTTCCTCAATTTTTCATTTTGAAACATCCACAACGAAGCAATTCGGTGAGACTTCCTCCTAGGATCAAAGTTGCATGTTGAGCTGACGCCGTGCCAATGCAATTTGCGATTTTTCCATCCTATCTCTCGAAAGTGCCGCGCCTGCCATGAAAAAGTGAGGCTAGGTTCGAAGTGCTTCACCTGTCACGGCAAAGCTGAAGATCTGATGCTGCCTCTCGGGAGATCAGCACCCCGACCGTCTGAGGGACATGTCTCTCGTACTGCGCCTGCCCCGCGAAATTCATCTTTGCAGATGGTCTTCAAAGGTCCCAACCTGCCGTCATTTTTCCAACTTCCGCAAACTGCCGCGAAACCCCCACGGTTGGTTCACTTTTTTGAAGGTCAGAATCCATTGCGCCTGCCACTGCAAACGGCGGTTCAACGTCTCAAAGTGGTCCAAACGTGTTGCGTTTTTCATTGTTTGAAAACCTCAACTTCCAAAAGCGCCCCGGAGCTGAGGTACTTTTCACATGTTGATTTACAAATCTGCTTCGCGCCACAACAGCGTGCACTTTTTGACTACCTCAACTTTTAAACGCGTCCCGAGAATCGTGTGTTTTCACATTTTGGTTTCACATTTTGACTTGCAAACCTGCTTCGCCCCACAGCCGCGCGGACTTTTCAACAAGTCAGCTCACAAAGTGCTCCGGAGCTGCGGTAATTTTGCACCTTTTGCCTTCGAAATGTGCTTCACGCCACAAGAGCATGCACTTTTTCTACCTCCCAACTTCCAAAAGACTATGAACTGCTTTTTAACATGTTTAATTCAAAATGTGCTTCGGACCACAGCGGCGCAATTTTTGATTTCCTTTTCGGCCAGATGGCTCCGCACCCGCCGCTCTAGCGAGCCTACTTTTCGACCCTCCGGAGCCCTTAAAGATTGGAAGCGCGCAGTTTTTGCGACTTTTCTGCCTTTTCGCGCGCGCACTTTGATCTTCTTTCTTGCTCTTCTTTCACTGTTCTCACCACTGTTGCTGCATCTGTCCATGTGTTGGAAAGTTTGACTTTTTAACTTCCTTCGAACATTCATGTTGACTTCGAAGCTTACGCCACAGCTGCGTGCACTTTTTGGTGGGATCCCACCAAATGGCTTCCGCACCCAGACCATCCGGAACCGCAAAACATTTGAAAAACATAATGTTTCACGACTTTTTTTTTGCTTTCTTACGCACTTATATTATATATATAATATATATATATATATATTTGTTCTTTCTTTCTGCTTTCTCCTTCTTCTGCATCTCCATAAGTCGGGAAGTTTGACTTGTAAACTTCCTTCGGCAAGCGGCTAGCCTTACCGCGCGTTTGCGACATCAGCATCTCTGCGGCTCTTGGTCATGCCGTACCTGTTCCAGCCTGCAGGCGGGTTGTCCCAGCAAGGTGCAAGCACGTACAAGTCCTGGGGCATCCCGATTTTGGCAATGCGTGTGCGTGTGTATGTCAGGAACATGCCCATATTCCCAATGTTGCTGCTCTTTTGCGTTTATTCCACGGGGTCAAGAGCAAAAGCCCAAACAGTGACAAAACAATGTCAACCAATCAAAGTCTTTGAAATGGATTTTCAGTTTTTGACGTGGGTTTTGAGAGGTTTCTCCTGTTTTCTTGGCGCCTTTTCTTCCTGTTTTGTCCTGGTCGACGGCGAAATCAGCCCTGCATCTTTGAGTTTTTGCCTGCAACATCTGCAACACAGCCTGAAATGCCATGCGAAATGGTAGATGATAACATGGAAATTCCATCACTTTCCTGTGCCCGACCCTTGCCAAATCACAGCCATGATGCAGCAATGGTAAATTTTGACCACGCATGAGAATCCAAGTAACGTAAGTTTCGTCACTTTCGTGTCCAATTTGCCAAGTTCGGCCCGAATCGCGACCTGCATGGAGCGAAAAGATGCAGCATCAGGAAGCATACCGCCGTAGGAAGGAACATGTCTTTTTTGCGGTACCGGTTTGACCCTGTCGGCAGCCCCCTTCACGAAGAAACATTGTGGCCATTTGAATGGAAACGCTTCGTCATGTGTTCAAACCAAAACATGGCTTGATTTTAGTAATTTTAGTAATTTTCGCGACGTAGTTGCCTGGGTCTCCAACATCACGACACTTGTGCAGCGCAAACTAAGGTGGTCACCCGTGATACGCCTTGCTCACCTTTGCACAACACCAAAACATAGGGGAACAACTGCCTGGTCCATAGCCCGTGCCGGGCCCTTGCATCTGAGGATTCCCTCAACAAATTCGTCCATAGTCATTTCGCCATCGCCTTAGAATGTTTGGCTGTGCCCTTTTTCAGCACGCCTTGTCTTTTGTGTGCGTTGCTGGGGGCCATTGACGTTACGCATTGTGCTCCTCTGGCCCAAGCCCGGGCAGGGAGCAACCCAGTACATCCCAGTACTAGATCCCAATCCTTGTTGGGCATGCTCTCCCTCAACCAACACATTGACTGCTATGCAAACTTCGAAAATGTTCTGCATCTCACCCGGCCCCGACGTTTTACGCACGTCTGCTTTTCTGCACATATTCTGCGCTAACCTAACCTAAACCTAATCTAACTGAACCCCGTGTATTTGTCTATCTGTCGATGTAACCTAATCTCATCTCATCTCGTCTCATCCAACGTCATCTAAACTACACCAAACTAAATTGAATTAACCTAAATCAATCTATCGATCGATTTGCCCATCTACCTCCGACTCCTCTAATCTAATCTGGGCTAATCCAATCCAACCCCATATTATCTATTCATCTATCTTTCTGCCGTTCAATTTGTCCAATCTAGCCTAGTCCAACCGAACCTAGTCGAAAGTAATCTAATATTGTCAACGGAAGTTTCGTAGAGAAACTCCGAGTTACGGATGGTTTTACAGTCATTTGCCTAAAGGTCATTGTGTCCAGTTGGCATGTTCCGTTCAAGAGATCATTGAGACCTGTTGGCATGTTCCTGAAGTAGAGAAGTACCTCAAGAAATCATTAAGTCCAGCTGGCATGTTCTTGAAGCAGAGAAGTAGCTCGAGATCATTGCGTCCAGCTGGCATGTTCCTGAAGTAGAGAAAAAGCTCAAGAGATCACTAAGTCCAGTTGGCATGTTCCTCCAGAGAAGTAGCTCAGAAGTTCATTAAGTCCAGCTGGCGTGTTCTTGAAGCAAAGAAGTGGCTCAAAGGATCATCAAATCCAGTTGGCATGTTCCTGCAGTAGAGAAGACTAGAGAAGCGGCTTTGCAACTCACTGTTGCTAGATTGCATTGGAATTGCTACACCAACGATAAGATTTGACTGTTGGGATTTGCACGAAACATTATGCATTTTTTGGTAAACGTACGCCGCAGTGCAGAGAAAAGTAAGCTCGCTTGCGCGACAGTTTCGGACAGTTTCCTGTGAGTATCCGCGCGCTCCTGATGGTTGAAGCTTGCGACGTTGACATGAACCTGCAGTTTCTTGTGAAGTCTCAAGGTATCCGCGCAATCCTCTTGGTTCAGGTTGCAGATTTCTTGTGAAATCCTAGGCTATCCGCGCAATCCTCTGGGTTCAGGCTGCAGATTTCTCGTGCTTTCCTAGGGTATCCACGCAATCCTCTTGGTTCAGGCTGCGGATTTCTACGTCAAAGCTTGTGTGTGTGTAAAAGCTGTTGTGTGTAAAAGTTTCTCTGTGTAAAAGCTTCTGTGTGTAAAAGCTCCGTGTGCAAAAACTTCTGTGTAAAAACTTCTTGTGTAAGACTGTGTAAAAGTTTGCTTTGTGTAAAGGCTTCTCTGCGCGTAGAAGAGTTGAGCAGAGGTGAGAGGAGATGGGAAGAGTTGAGAACAGGTGGCAAGAGGTGAGAAGAGCTGAGACAGAGCTGAGAAGCGGTGGGCAGAGGTGAGAGTCGTTGAAAAGAGTTGAGAGGAGTTGACAAGAGGCGAGTAGAGTTGAGAGGAGTTGAGAAGAGATGAGTTGAGAAGAGGTGAGATAAGTTGAGAAGAGGCGAGGTGAGTTGAGAAGAGGTGGGCAGAGGTGAGAAAAGTTGAGAAGAGTTGAGAAGAAGTGGGCCGGGGCAAGAAGAGTTGAGAAGAGATGTGGTAAAAGAGTTGAGCTGGCTTGTGAAAAGAATTGGGAAGAGCTGGGATGAACTGAGAAGCGGTGGCCACCGTTGAAAAGGGGTGAGGCAAGATAAGGACGAATTCACAGAACACAGTTGAGATCATGTGAGGCTCCACCACAACTCCTATAGGCAAACCCTGCCTTTGGATCCTAAACTATAAGATTCCTTGCTGTTCGAAACTTCCGCCGCCCGCCTCGTGCGGGTTGTACTTGTATAGCTGCTTATCTTTCTGTCTATCAGTTTTTCTTTCTCATCTAGGTATCTTTCTTTCCTTGTTATCTACTTATTTTTCTAGCTGACCTAATCTTATCTTATCTGATCTAGGCCTATCTAACTTAATCTTGTCTAACAAAATGAATCATAGAACTATCTATCCATCTATCACGTTTTTTATATATCGCTTATCAATCTATCTATCTATCTATCTATCTATCTATCTATCTAGCCAGCTAGCTATTTATCTATATATCTATCTCTCTATCTCTCTATCTATCGATCTATCTATCTATCTATCCATTTATCTATCTATCTATCCATCTATCTATATATATATATATATCTGTCTCTCTCTCTCTATCTATCTATCTATCTATCTATCTATCTGTCTGTCTATCTGTCTATCTGTCTATCTGTCTATCTGTCTATCTGTCTATCTACCTATCTATCTATCTATCCATCTATCTATCTTTCTATCCATCTACCTACCTATACCCCTCTATCTATACATGCATAGAACAACCTCTCTCTATCTATCTATCTACCTATCTATCTAGCTAGCCAGCTATTTATCTATCTGTCTATCTATCTATCTATCTGTCTGTCTATGGATCTATCTGTCTGTCTGTCTATCTATCCATCTATCTATCTATCTATTTATCTTTCTATCGTTCTATCTATTTATCTATCGACCCATCTATCGCGTTTATTCCTATATCTTTCTTTCTGTCGTTCTTTCTTTCTTTCCTTCTTTCTTTCT